CTGGAAAGATGTAATATTGATATGGAAGTACTTAGTGTAAATAGTGTATATAACATCCCCCTTCTAAAGGATTAGCATTTTTAAAATTCAAAACTAATTTCATCTCTGGAAAATTTTATTTATTCCACCTTACTATTTTGACTTCTGGAATGTACCAAGGACTTTTAAACACATACCCATACACATATCCATAACATACATGATTTAGTCCTCACATTAATTGTCTGAAGAGCGAACTTAATTTTCTATGGTCCAGACTGGGTGACTGACACCTCAGGAAGATTACATGACTTGGGCAGCAGAGGCAGAATTTCAGAGTGAATCTGAAGATAAACTGTTCCCTGGTTTTACAGTGCAGAGTAGGAGACATTGGTGTCTTTTCATCTAGATTAACCTGTGCTTAACTCCAATAAGCTTCCTCTATTTATTGGATATAGAACTTTATAGCAAATGTTCTTTAGGACCAGGGCAACAAGAATCATGAGTAAAATTTTAGGTTAAATTTTCTTATTAACTTAGCTTTTCATGGGCTATGTTAAGGATAGATCAGGATAGATTCCTGACATATCCCCAAAATCCTTTTTTATTCTTTCTGAAACAGAGATGTGACCATTTTCTAATATATATACACTACATAAAGTATTATTTATTTTTTTCCTCTCTATATATTTAATCAATATTTCTAGGATCTTGTTCTCAATCAGTGTAAATGATTGTATAGTAATTAGTTCAATGAAGTATTAGCTTATTGTCTTGATGGAACATCATTTCATTGTATAGCAGTGAGTAATTGCTATGGCTAAATGCTCTTTAATGTAGTGTTGATGCTGTTTTGAAAAATTTATTTGGGTTAGCCTATGACGGAAGAAAAAAACAGAAGAGCTAGATGATGTCTTTCCAGCTGAAAACCGAATACCTACATATGGTCCAAACTTCTCAAAGGAGAACCTAGCATTGCCTAAATTAAGGAGAGAAAAGTGGGGAAGAAGACAAGTGTGGAAAGAAAGAAGGCACATGAAGGAAAAGAATGTCATGCTATGTTTCCTCATGCTGCCACTGTCCTATTGAAATAGGCAAGATTTTGGAGTGAAGGAAAAGATACGACACAGAGAAGCTCAAAACAATAATACTTTTTTCTTTTTCTCTGAAGTGTACATATTCAACTTGAAATAAAGATTTCAAACGATACTAGTAAAGTATATATTAAAATGCTGCAAAATATTGCTACTTAGAATATCATCTTTTAGAGTATATTTATAATCTCTAACAAAGACCAAAGCCCCAAGAAGAGATATTTTACCTACTGTCATGATTCTATTCTTATTTTAAGGAATTGAAGTTAATTTTCAGTTTGTTTAATGCAAGTGCTTGGGAATACAGTCATGGAATAACACATGTATTCCTTCATTTATTCAGTAAGTATATATCAGTGACTACCTTGTGCCAGACAGTAGAGATGAGACAACAAATCAGAGGTGTGTCCCTAGACTGACAGGCCTATTGTCTAGTGGAATAAGTAGATATTTATGAAATACTTCCATGGTAAACATTTTACATGTATAATCTCATGCAACCTTTACACTAGTTTCATGAAGTAGGCATTCTTTCCATATTTTGTACATGAGGAAAATTAGAGTGAGGTAACTTGCCCAAAGTTGCAAGCTAAAGAATGGTTGAGCCAAACTTGGGAAAAGACCTGACTGACCTTCCTTTTCCCTTTCCCTTTCCCTTTCCCTTTCCCTTTCCCTTTCCCTTTCCCTTTCCCTTTCCCTTTCCCTTTCCTTTCCTTTCCTTTTTGCCCTTTCCCTGTCCCTGTCCCTG